CTCCTACAATCTGGCTAGGAGTACTACTTACTAGGAGAATAGCACAAAGCTGTCATGATGTTGGCAGCCTCTGCAAGAAAGCTAAGCCTCGCATCACATCAGGCTCCTCTGCAATACCAAAAAAAGTAAATTTGTTGATGTTGGGCCCTGGAGATGGCTTGAGGAGCAGGCCGAGTTCTGCAAGGCCCTGGAGTGATCAAATGGAAAGTAGGCCGAGTCCTAAAGGGCGTAAATATCCTCCATGTGCCAGTTGCATCTGCTGACCGGCTTTAGGCTTCCTTGCCTGTCTGAATAGCTGGCTTGGAACCAAATCAAGGGAACCTGGAGTGACAAGGAACAGAGCACCAGGAGCCTCAGGGACAGGGAAAGCCTTGAGAGGCCCAGGTCCTTCAACCCTGAGGCACTCTGTGCTTCATTTAATGACCTGCACATTTGTTTAATAATTGCATTGGGCACAGCAAGGATGAGGCATTTTTAAGTGAAATGCTTAATGCCATTGCAATATTCAACCGTTAATGTGCAAGCTCCATTGCACATTGTTGAGGATTATCTGTAATACTGGGAAGACCCAGTGTTAAGTTATTGTCATCTGGCGAAGGTAACAAGTTGATTTTTGATCATTTCTCTCCACTAGGCTCACAGGGATATTCCTGTGGGGATAAAATGAAGGAGAGGTCCATATAAGCTACCTGGAACTCCAGGGCTCATCTTCACTTTCCCCTAAATCATAACAAAATATTACACTAAGGATCCTAAATAATTGTGATGGGTCATAGGCTTTTACCTTTTTCTCTGTGCTTCATCATGATTCCTGTATTTTGGATCCTCCATTTCCCTACAGTGTTAACAGGGAATAGCCTGTCTCAGAAGATGGACACCACCACACACACTTGATTACATATGCTATGAAATATAAAATATTTGCTAACTGTTACTGTTTAAAATGGAGCCTTTTACTCCATTCTCACTTCTCACTCATTGATACAGTGAATGAACATTCTTTCATGGTGCAGCATATTTTTCTCTAGTTAAATGAACCACTTTTCATGCCGTGTGTGTGTGTGTGTGTGTGTGTGTGTGTGTGAGAGAGAGAGAGAGAGAGAGAGAGAGAGAGAGAGAGAGAGAGAGATTTGGCTGGCTGAGGCTGAACAGTGATTGCTTGAAGTTGATCTGACAATTTCATATTTGGTGCATCATGATGGTAAAGTATTGATTTTAGGTTTTCAGCGTATTCTATTATTTTGGAAAAACAGGTAAAGCAAGCAATGTATTTCTTTTTTAAAAAAAGAAAGACTGCTTAGATCAGCGAGAAGGTAAATTAGATACCTACAGTATGAGAAGCCCATAAGCAGGACCTGAATGCAATTGTATTTTCATGCTAATGTTTGCCAGCATACGGATTTCAGAGACAAGCGGCCTCTAATACTGGAGTTTTCCTCAAGACTTTCTAGCACTTTTCTCTGCGGTAATTCTATCTTCTATAATGGATTGTGAAATGTACTTTGTACCTGCAATAACTCTGAGAGTCAGCTATTAATAACCCTTCTCTCCATAAAACTCCGGAAGTAAGTCCTATTGAACTTGGTGGGATTTGCCTCTGAGTAGACATGAATAAAGTAACTTGCCATTGCTTAATGACCTTTGACTAGGATGTTTAGAACTTGCACTTTCTACTTACTTACAAAGACGGCTCTCTTTTCCAAATCCCAGTGGTAAGAATTGGCCTTCCTTTAATGGCAGGATCACGTCCTTCATAAAATCTCATATTTAGAAATAAGTATGCCTCTTAAACTTTGCTTAACCTTTAAAGCACAACATCCCGAATCAAATCCCATCAGAAATCATTTTTTATATGATGGTTTTTTTTGGTGGGGGACATACTCTTGTCACCTGGTTAAAATCATGATCATTCATCATTTCAAAACTATTTTTTGTTTTTCTTAAATCCCCGATAAAACTCTCTGTTTAAATTGTTGGCTAAAATTATTATTGCAGTAGGTGGCACAAGGTCCAGAAGCAGACATCTCTTGGCCATGCTGGACATAATTTACCTGAACTTTGAATGGTCTTATTCTATTTTTAAAACATTATATAAAGTATACTTAAAAGAAGAACTCTGGTGCATCTGGTTTATGTTTATAGAAGAATAACTAAGGGTGTTCTAGAAAAGGTACATAGTGTCTCTGCTCTGTGGATTTAGCTTTGATCTGGCCTAAGATTTCTTGACATTCTTGATGAGGATTTTTGTTTACATTTTATTTAATACATTTCTCAGCCACCTTCTGAGATTTCAGTCCTCCTAAGAGGGGGAAGGGAGGGAGGGAGAGAGAGAGAAAGAGAGTGAGAGAGCGCAAACTACCATACAAAGGCACGTATTATGTCCTGAAAATGTGAACTAGAGAAAGAATACTAATTTGGCATCTCATTTATTATGTATTATTAATTTTGATTTTTTTTTAAAATCCTACCTTTTTAATTTGTTTTTATTAAGAAATACATAATACACAGGGCAATTGTTTATTAGATTTTTATCCCACCTTATTGCTTTATAAGTAAACTAAAGTGGTGAGTGTACCAAATAGTCTGCCCTTCTCCTCCCTTCCCCACAACAACAAGCCTGTGAGGTAAGTTGGGTTTAGAGACAGTGACTGGCCCAAGGTCACCCAACCAGGTTTCATTCCTAAAGCACACTAGAACTCACAGCCTCCTAGTAAATGGCCCAAATTCACCTAGCTGGCTTTCATGGTTAAGGCAAGACTAAAACTCAGTCTCCTGATTTCTAGGCCAGCACCTTTAACTACACCAAATGTGGGAATGGAGGTAAGAAGACTGGCTCCATTGCTACTGCTGCTGCTCTATAAGCCACAAAATAGCTGACTGGGATGATAGGTGTTAGATCCCAGCTCTACTCTCAACCAGCTTGCAAAATTCCAGAAGATTTAACAATTCACTCTCATTGGAGCCAGTACAAGCCAGTTATAGACAGTTGTGGAGCAGTAAAATCCAGAAACTTACAGAGTGGTCCAGAAGCTGCACTTCTAAGCCAGAGGTGGTTTTTTTTTTTTTTTTAAAGCATGCTATGTAAGTGGCTTACTATGTAGCTTACTATGTGAAGAATGTATATATCTTACTATTCGCAGTCATGCTGTAATAGGCTATGAGAGTAACCTTGAGAGACAGGAGGAAGAGCAGCAACCTAGAGAAATGTCTGATAAACGAAATCTGAGTCCAAACCAGAAATGTAATTTGAGAAAGCATCTCAGAATTGACTCTAGTTCTCTGGACTGGAAAGGCAGGGGATGGGAAAAATGCTTTCAGACTTGTACTTGTTTCTGTTACTTTAACTTTCCAATAAAAGTAGTATTAGTGTTCTTAATCTTGGTTTCCTGGTCTGGGCTACCTTGAAAGGCTGATATGTGCAAAACCAAACTTTGTGAGATAAACTTGTCTGCAATGCCTGGCTTATGCCCCAAACCCTCTTGATCTTCCAGAAAGCCATGAAGACCTGACTATCTCCCCAGACATTAGGGTCAAGATATCATTGGAGCCCAGTATATATACTTGGCCCTAATCAGTGAGGGGTTGCTCCTGGTTCGGCCCGGTTCTATACAACCCGTAGTAAAACCGGTGGGAGGCTCTACCCACTTGACACAACATCTTCATGGCTGATCTGCTCATGCGCAGAAGCTTCTGCGCATGCACAGAAGCGCAAGCAAAGTGAGCGCACGCACGCGTTCCCGCTGCAAACTGGTAGTAAAGGTAAGTAGAACCCACCCCTGGCCCTAATGCCTGGTTATATATTTAATAAGGTACGGTGCCAGGTTTTTTCTTTGTATTGGATTATTTTAACATTGATTAGTTATGAGGTCCTTTTGTATTTTTTTTATATAAATTGGTTGTTAGTCTCCCAGAGTCATACCATATAAATATTCAAAAACAAAACAAAACAAAACACTCTCTGCGTGATGACTTGGCGTGACATGTGAATCACAAAAAAGTAATTATGAATCTTTTTTAAAGGAGTATATTCCTATTTTGGAGAGGCTCACAATCCAAGTTCAGTCAAATGATTTTCAAGAAATCATAAGAAGGGAAAGCCCATCATCAACCACAGACAAATCACAGACTTGTATGCCGAGATATTCTGCATTTCGATATAAGTTTTTTTTAAAGGTAATTTTAAATTGTATGGGATAATAAGATCGTTGTGAGATAAGCCTTGGGGAAAGTGGAACAAATTGCTGCTCAGCCATGAAATGTATTGGGTGAAGTTGGTCCACATGACTGCTTTTCTTCCCAATTTTCCAGATTCTGTTGTTTGAGTGGATTAGCCTCCTATAAACTTTCATGGGTCTTGTATTTTTCTTGTTTATAATGGGTTTTTCTTTGTAACCAAATCCAAAATAAGGTTTAGCACTCATTGGAATATAATCAGATCATTTTCATGAATAGTCATGAGTTTTAACTGTAGATTAAGTTACACAGGTAGTCCTTGATTGACAGCCATTCATTTTATGACCACTCAAAGTTACAACAGCACCGAAAAAAGTGACTGTATAACTGGTCCTTACAACTTACAACTGTTGCAGTTTTCCCCATTCACATGGTCAAACTTTCCCAGACAGCTTTCAACAAGCAAAGTCAAAGGGAGAGGGGAAGCTGAATTCACTTAACAATGATACGATTTGCTTAATAACTGCAGTGATTTGCTTAATGGGGCAAAAATGGTTGTTAAACTGGGCACGACTCAGTTAAAAACAAACTTGTTTAAGTCTTAATAGAAATGCGGTCTCATTTATGGTTGTATGTTGAAGACTACCTGGGCTACTGATTCAAAAAGTCTAACAAAACTCAACTGCCGCATAGTAAATGATTTAATAGGTACACAACATCCCTTCCTTCTTCTCTTCTCCTCTCTTTTTTTTCTCCAAACCGCAGTGTTTTCAAACCAATGGTGGACCACTAACAATGGACTGTGTTCAGCTTATTACAGGGGTGTCAAACTGGCAGCCCTCGGGCCGGATGTGTCATGTGCAGGCCATGCCCATTCCAGCTACGGGAAGGGAAAAATCATTGCAATACGTCACATGACAGTAACGTGACACCGCGAGTTTGACATCCGTGGCTTAGCAGATCTCAGTTGGTGTGTAAACTTTGTTCAGAACTTGGCTGTTCCCTGTGCATATGCTTTTAACTGCCTAGCTTGTTTTAATTAAACATATATTTTAAAAAACCCTTCACAATTGAACATGGCAGGCTCTTTTGGCCTTGCAGGCGTTGGATGGATGTTGTTGCACCTTGACTGTTGAAACAGCTCCATGAGACCTTTTTTTTTCCTCAGGCAGAGAATAGCCAGTAGAGACTTCGAAGCGACATGCTGCTTAACTAAGGAATGCCTCTGCTGTCTCTCATTGCTTTCCCAGGGAGCACAACAGCTTGCAGAACAGTAAGTGGCAACTGTTTATTATAACATTATGCCAAGCTAAGGACAAACTGTTCTTCTGAAGAATGTTTTACAGCCTTAAATAGAAAGAAAAGCCATTTGACAGGCCTTAATGCTTACTGAAGAAGAAGAAATTGCCACTGAGTGGCTAATTCTGAAACAGCACTTAAGCTCCTATTGTTGCTACTTATTGTTATACTTGTTATTATGGTTATTATTTTGCTACCATCATCTAGTACTTTAAAGATAAGTATATATCATACAGTCACAGCAAATGGGATTAATACATCAGTATGGCTGATGTAGCATAGTTTCTCCCACAGGGCATTTCCTATCTGTGAATGTGGATGTGGGAAAGACTGCAAAGAGGTGAAACAAATGAACACATTAACTAATTTATTAACACAAAAGCAATTGTTCACATTGGCAAATGCAGGTTGATTTTTTGGGTCATTTATTTATTTATTTATTTATTTATTTGTTTGTTTATTTATTTATTTATTTATTTATTTACTTACTTATTTATTTATTTATTTATTTATTTATTTATTTATTTATTTATTTATTTATTTATTATTAGCCCAATTTATATGGCACCCTTCTCCGTAGACTCAGGGTGGCTTACAATGCATTATAGCAATAGCCTGCATACTTTTATGTATATACCTGCTTATTAGGGCTTCCCCCCCCCCCAAGCGGTGTTGTTCTATACAAAGCTGGCTTATTGCCCCCACAATCTGGGTCCTCAATTTACCTGCCTCGAAAGGATGGAAGGCTGAGTCAACCTTGAGCCTGGTGAGATTTGAACTCTCACTAATTGCAGGCAGCTGACAGCTAAGTGCTAGCACTTAACAGCACTTAGTCCGCTGCACCACCAAGGCTCTTTTAAGCCTCGGTGGTGGCTTAAATAAGCTCTTTAGGACTTATCAAAGCAGCTAGTAGTTCTACTTTTTTCCCCCATAATGTCCCAAAGGTCCTTTGCATTAAAGGGAAAAAGAAATATTATCAGCAGCTACTGTCATTGAACATAGGCATCTGCTCCTAATTCCATCAGAGATAGACTGAAAATCTCAGCAGCTGATTTTAACTTAATCCTTTAGGGAGATTTTACCTCCTGAGTTAGTTTTCTACAATCTGAAAATGGATTTTCCATTTGGAAGATTTCAACCTTATAGCCATTAGGTAATGCTTTACAAGTTGGCTTAATTCTTTTATCAGATAAAATACTCATGTGAGTTCGTGTTTTATTCATAAATATATGTATATATATTCAGGTTTTAATATACAGCTTACTATGTTTTTCTTTATTTCTGTTTTCTGCTAGGCCACAGCCTGTGTATTCCATCTGTAAGACAAAACAGATTTTTCATTTAAAGAACTGGGAAGTCAGCTCCTATTTCTGAATTTGCAGATTACGGTATTAGGTGGTAATCTGATATTTGTAACACCTATCAATTATTAATGCATTTGGTCTGTGATCTGTTTTTCTGAGAACAAATCTAAACAGCAAATCTTCTGACTGCAATACCCACTCAATTCTTTGGACTTCTTTACTGCTTCCTGGTGTTTTGCTCTTTGTCTTTTCTCACCTGTGAAGAATTCAGGAGAATCTCAAAAGACTGTGTCCACTTCTGAGCCATTTTAGTTGGATCCTATAAAAATATCAAATCGATAAAAGGTTTTGGAGTCTCTCTTTTTTCTCCCATGCTCTGATTTTTTCTGTGAGTCATTCCTGCCTGATGCTTCTGTATCATCTGTAAAACGTATGTCTTTTGGGAAAGAAGTGAGGCATTAATCTGTGCCGCTGGTGCCATCTGCTGTAGGAAAATGTGCAAAACATACTTTGTATTTTATTTGGTTGTGCACAGCTTGAAGATGGTTGGAAAAATGTGCTTTGGATCTTGCATATGTCCAGAACCTTTAAGTTAGATGTTATTTTTTTCAGCTTTTCCCCAGAGCCTGAAAAGATGTCTCTTTCCTAAGAAGGTCACTCATTAAAGTTAATGCAATCCTTAATGCAGCAGCATCTTTAGCTGATTGATTGATTAAGTGCCATCAAGATATTTTCAACTCCTAGCAACCATACAGGATAGAATAGATCGTGTCCATAGATCCAGTACCATTAAAGTTAACTCTTAAAGCAGCAGCAACTTTGCCAGGGCTTCTTTAAACCAGAGTAGAAAGGCGATAGGCTTGTTTAAGGGCTGATATACCTTTTCTAAATCATTTTTGACTATTTTGCATAGGAAAGTCCTTTTTGTTGTTCAATTGCACAAATTTGGTTAATAATGGATATTTAATATAGAACACTTGAATATTTGACGTTTTTCACTTTTGTAGACACGTGAAATGTATTCACAACACATCTGGGTTTTTCTTTACACTGTGCTCTTTTCCGAACTCGTTTAATATTTTAATGTTTTTATAAAAATACCATGTGTGTTACCTGTTAAATATTGAATCTCTTTGATCCAGAGGCATATGCAATAAATACATGAAGTATTAAAAAATATCTCTGATCCATTATTAAGCATAGGCGAGCAAAATGATGTACTGTACATGTGGGTTAACATCAATATTAACATGCAATTTCATAAAATTGGTGAAAGTGCTGGTCTAAAAATCAGGAGAGTGTAAATTCTAGTCCAGGGCTGTCAAACTCGTGGGCAGGATGCGTCACGCGCTGGTCATGCCCTCGCCCGGTTTAACAACGGGGGAAAATGTCCCGATATGTCATGTGATGCCGCTGTGACGACACAAGTTTGACACTCCTGTTCTAGTCCCATCTTAGTCATGAAAGCCATCTGAATGACTTTGGGCTAGTCGTTCCCTCTACCTCATAGGGTTGTTGTGATGGGAAAAATAGGAGAATTAGGTATGTTTGCCACCTTCAGTTACTTATAAAGCAATGAAGGTGGGATAATATTTGCTCTGTGTATCATGTATTAATAAAAACAAATATCTTTCAAGCAGTTTTTAATATAGAAACCTCACTTAATCTTAGAGTTATGGACAAAGAAGTAGCATTATGCTACTTAGTTTAGTATTTAATATTTAGTATTTCTTACATCAAAATGGAAAGGAGTTCCTGGAAGAACCCAACTCTATAAGTTTTGGAAAGACATTTTTTCATGCTGGTGCCAAGTGTGATTTACTACTCCTTTTCAAAACATAAGATAGTCCCAATCCTCTAACCATTCTGGAATAAAATTTAAGACTCATCTGTTTAATTTAACACTTATATTGTTGCTGTTGTTAGTTGCAAAGTTGTGTCTGACCCATCGTGATCCCATGGACAACTTTCCTCCAGGCCTTCCTGTCCTCTACCATACCCCAGAGACCATTTAAGCTCACGCCGACTGCTTCAGTGACTCCATCCAGCCACCTCATTCTCTGCTGTCCCATTCCTCTTTTGCCCTCAATCGTTCCCAACATTAGGCTCTTCTCCAGTGAGTCCTTCCTTTTCATTAAGTGGCCAAAGTATTTCAGTTTCATCTTCAGGATCTGGCCTTCTAAAGAGAAGTCAGGGTTGCTCTCCTCTAGGACTGACTGGTTTGATGGCCTTGCAGTCCAAGGGACTCGCAGGAGTCTTCTCCAGCACCATAGTTCAAAGGCCTCAATTTTTTGACACTCAACTTTCCTTATGGTCCAACTTTCACAATCATACATTGCAACTGGGAAAACCATAGCCTTGACTATACACACTTTTGTTGGCAGGGTGATGTCTCTGACATCTTATATTGTTAGTTGTGTTTAAATGATATTTTTAAATAGTTTCAATCCATTTTATTGCTTTTCCTGCGTTGTTTAAATTTGTGGTAGGCTTCTGCGTTGTAATATGGGAAAAGGTTGCATAACACAATTAATTTGAAGTTCCACCTTAACTCTTCTTTCTTTTCAGGAAACATACATTCTCCTAAAAATATGAATAAAATCCACACCTTTGTGATACTGCTTTTTAATTCTAAACAACTAACAACTAACAAAATCACTAAAGATTTTTAATCTTTGTTCATCTACATTAGTCATCTTTAATTCAGAGATTTCTTCTTCTAAGATCAAAGACAGGCCTTTTCTTCTCAGCAAACTAAAATTGCATCAGAACAATGATTTTTGACATCATGACACAACATTCACATAGATCAGAGCTGTCAAACTCCCGGCCTGTGGGCCAGATGTGTCACACGCTGGCCATGCCCCCACCCAGTTTAGTGAAGGGGAAAAAAAGTCCCAATACATCACGTGACACCACAGTGACGCTGTGAGTTTGACACCCCTGACTTAGATAGTTGCATCACAATGCCTGACACAAATATGTAAGCCTTGGGTTTTGTGTACATTGTTGTGATGAATGTTTTGTTACTTTCTCCCCCTTGCTCCCACTGTACATGCCAACATTGGGATATTTTCAGCCAGACAAATCAAAATGATGAAAAGTGTATTGTGGCATCATGGTGCCAGTAAATAATGTGAACCATATTTATGGTGCACAAGGCAGGCATTGGCAAGAATTAATGGATTCTCCTGGCTTTGTTTCCCTCTCTCTTACTGAATGTCACCACTCAGTTGGAAAACATCCATCCATCTTTCTCAATGGAGCTGGAGTTGGGGGGAAAGTGTATTGCAAGTTGACTTGACTGACTGATTTTACACAAGTGTTTCTTCCTCAATGAGTATGTTCAAAGGTATTGGTGGATTCCCCCTGTTCAACATGGGTTTAGCTCTATTCGAATGTTCAAAAGAAGCCTGTACAAAAGGTGACAGGTGCAAAGAGTTGTTCTGTGAAGCAGTAGAGAGATCTGCACGTACACACACACACACACACACACAAATTCCACTAATTAGCTGCTTTTCAACCTGATTTATGTCTCTTAACCAGGATTTAGCCTGAAGACCTGGTAGGTACAGGGGAAGAGTAATTCTGGAGGACAGTTCCCTGGGCCCAGAATGGAGAGGTTGTACCCGGTGAGCATACCTAAAACTCCTGCCTCCTATTTTCCTCACAAAAACAACACAGTAAAATGGGTTTGGCTGAGAGAATAACTGGCTAAAAGTTATCTGATGACTTCCATGCCTTTAAGGGTGACCTAGAACTCATGTTCTCTTGGTTTTTAGCCCAGCAGTTTCACTACCACACCAAATTGGCTTTCTAAAGTGGCCAGTAGGTTCAGAATTAGGTCATTCCTTAGTAGTTACCTTACTGCAGGACTGTCAATTTCACGGCCTGCGGGCCAGATGCGTCATGTGCTGGCCATGCCAACACCCGGTTTAGCAAAGGGAAAAAAGTCCCGATACGTCACATGACTCCACCGTGACAATGCAAGTTTGACACCCCTGCCTTACTGCAGAGTTAACAGAATGATTGGCGAGGTATATCCATGGCAAAACCTATATTAGGTAAAAGAAAAATGCCATTATTTTAACATGGGTACAGCTATGGACAATTACCTCCACAGGTATTAATGTGAGGGAATCAAATGCATGTTCGGAGAACACATCAAAAAAAAAAAAGTTTCCACAACATGTCTATATTGCTGTTTATGCAAGTGAGGAAAAATAGATCCTCTGAAATCAGTAAGCACTAGTTTATATCCCTTTGATTTTAGTATCGATGAATCACAGACCCCAGACCCCCAAGTAGTAAAGTGAAATAAATAGTACTCACAAATATAGTATCATCCTGATCTCATAGGTTGAACATTAAGGAATGATTTTCTGTTGTACTTCAACCATCCTGCAAAGGAATCCTCAATCCCAATCCAGCAAGTTGTTTCTTTCTATGCCTCTGCTATTGTTTGATTTCCAGGGATTGCTTTACAAATTTGTAAAAGAGGAACAACCTATGGTGAGTTCTCATCTCATATGAAGCAGGCACTCTTCAATTTCACATGTTATAAACTATATATGACATCAGAACACATTTGCTGTTCCAGTGGTGATCAAGTAAATGGAAACAAGTCTTTAGCTCCCCAAATTACTTTGTTAAAGTGTTCAGATTTCATGTTTATTCTGCTGAGTTAGTTAACAAAATGCACATGTCCCCAGTGCTCACTTAACAACCTGCTTTCAGTGATGCCTCACCTCGATCCACAATGGAGGGAAAAGCCACGACAATGCAAATGTGTTTGTTCAACACAATTCTGAAAGCTTTGTAGAAAGTGCTGAGCAAAACAAGACCCACCAAATTCGAGCACCATTAACAAGGGATAGAAGCTGCCTCTGTGGCCATGGTTTTTTGTTTTTGTTTTTGTTTTGTTATGGTTGTTGTAATACTGGGTTCAACAGCATTTTAATTATAATCTTTCAAACAATATGTTGTGTTTCAGAAGAAAGCAAGACAATCCCACTGTCTTGCTGGGGAAAAAAAAGAGTGAAGCAAATGTTTTGTGTTTCCTGTAGTTGTTTACCTATCATTTATCAGGTGACTATTTCCAAACAATTCTAGAAATGTACACTCATGAGATTTATTTATTTATTAAAGAGCTTTGTCCTCCCTCATCCAGATTCATTATTAACAGAGCCTTCAAAAAGAGGGAAACTCTTGGAAATTCTGTGCTAACTCATCTTCATTACGGGAACATCTATAAATTCTGAGGACACGTTTCCAACTGAAATCACAGAGGGATGCAACCAAAATGTGTAGATGGAGAAGATGGAGAAAGACACCTTCAGCTATCAGGTAAGAAAAAAATGACCAGGAGAAATATTTTTATTCTCTCCTCTCTTGAGCATTAGTACTTCACAAAGATGGAGTATGTTTATATTACTAAATAATTTGATATAGACTGATGTGAGCTTCCTCCTAAAATAAAGTTTTAGTAGGCAATGGTGGAGAAGAGTTTAACCAGCCACAAATCCCACTTCTTCTTGTCTTGAATCTGAATCTGGCAAATAGGCAAAATTAGAGCTATCTATTATGGGGAATACTCAGCAAGCAGCTGAAGTACCTTTTTGTTTGAAGCTGAAAGTCTCTTAAAGTCCCCTGTGCCAGCTGATTATTTGTGCTAAATTGGAAAAGTTAACTAGTCCAAGATGATACAATGATAAGGTTGACAGAAAATATATTTAAATAACTATCTTTGCTTCAGATCCACAACACAAACTTTCTATATCCATGACAGTACTGGTTTTATAAAGTGTGTGTATATGTGTGTGTGTGTTAGGTATGTGAGAGAGACACAGAGAGACAGAGACAGAGATAGAGAAACAGAGACAGAGACACATAAAGAAAGGATCTAAGGCTTAGATTCTAAGCAGTTAAGATACGTCCAGATAGTTGCTTTAAACTGATGGAGATAGAATGTTGGATTATCTGGAACTTGTATGATGTTGAAAGATAAAACTTATGTTCTTTACTTGACTATTGTGAATTTATTCTCAGCTTGTTTTATTCAGCTTGTCACATGATATTGCCATCAAGTCATGTAATTTTGAATGGACTGTTCACACTGGGATTTTGTTTACTGCTAAACCAGTACACAACATTTCAAAAAGCGAACTGCCCATTTGAGAAAGTATGACTTGACAGAGATACCATGCAATGTAACAAATTCCATCCAATATTTCTACTATGAAATCAAACATTCAAGTGAAACATTCTGGTGAATTCAAGGGTATGTCCTTCGACTTTTCTTGGCTACAACACAGAAGAGAAACCCTTATGGAAGTGTGGTTGACTTGTGATTTATGGGTTTGAACATTTAGAAGGGATAATTTATGAAAAAGAAGGAAATTGGGATATAACCTTAGAGAGGGTAAAATACAAACTGTCAAAAAGATCAGAAGCTGCTTATTTATAATCTTTTCTTTCTATTTTCTCCCATGTCTTACTTATCCACTACTCTTCCTTATTTTCTTTGTTTGTTCTCTAACTTTGGAATTGTTTTTATCCCGTTAAATGTCTTCAATAAAAGTCATATATAAAAAAGAAGAGGTTTGTCATACTTGTTTTCACTTTTCATTTCAGCTTATAGCATTGCAACATCCTGGTTGTTTTCTATCCAAGTCCTATGCAGCTTAGCTTTGTGAAGCCTGCAAAGGTTGGCTGCTGTTACCAATTGTAAAAACAAAGCAAAAAGACATCTTCTATTGTCTGGATATACTTTTGCAATATAGCAAACATATTTGAGGCTTAAGCTATGTCAGGGCTCTCCTGAGTTCAATTCTAGTATCTTTTTTTCAAGGCCAAGCTTAACCTTGACATTTACGATGAAAGAGAAATGAAAATTGTCTTGAGCAATTGTATGTTCTCAGCCTTTTAAAAAATTTTTACGGTTCCACAGGTTGGCATTTTGGCAGGGAAGGGAGTGAAAGACAATTAAATCAATGCACTGGTTTGTTTTTATTAGACGCGGTGTATTTAATCCCAGCAGCTAGATGGTAGCACCGGTTTGTGCATGCATTTATGAGCAGCACAGACTTGGATTGAGGATGTTGAATTGACGTTTACATATCAGACAAAAGAGGCATTTTCCTTTTTCTTAAGAAAAATCATTGTAAGATCATAGGAAGTTTGGTTTTCCACAAGGAGTATTTGTGCTGATAAAGTGAAAGGCTAGCTTGCCTATAATCTGCCAATTCAAGATAATCAAGAAAAAAAAAATATAAGGGACACATTATTTAAATATTTAAATTATATTCAAGGGGAAGCCTTTGAGTAGATGATATTTTATATTTTAAGTCATTGTGACTAAAATGTGACCTTTTAGAATGTGTGGTATACACATATTATTCACAGGTCTCATTTCACGGTCGAAGCATTATAGTCTAATTGCATATTTCATTTAATTGAAGCTTTCTGAACAAAAAGAGTTTCTGATTTTTGCAGACGTCTGCTGGAGTTGACGATGAGGAAACTGATGGCAACCGTATGTGTGGATTGAGTAGCAGACAAAGAAGCAAGATCAGTGGGACACAGCTCTCGGCAGCAGAACGTGAAACAATGGAGGAGCCTCTTGACGCAAACTCTTTTAATCAAGAAATGCAGGAGCTGTATGTAGATAAACCTCCTCAATTGCAGGAAGCAGGTGAGACCCTCCCCAAAGATTTCCAGGTAAAAGAAGGCTTATCACATAGCCAAGAAGAATCGTGCAGAGATGACTCAGAAGATTGCAGGGGTGTAGAATCCTTTGGTAGAAAAAATCAAACATTTGAAGCAGACGTAGAGAGCAAAGATGAGCAACTGGGGTGGCTAGACACGAGGAGAAGCCAGGAGACTTCTGAAATAGCGTCACACGAAGATAAAACTCACTCAGTGCGGGATGGGAATAAGTTCCACCCGATAGAGGAGATGGACGGGGATCATCCTATAGCAACCCAGGAAAAAGAAGACAGCAAAGACGTGTCTGTTTTGGAGCCTGGCATACCTAACCAAACTTCGCAAGAGTTTAAGAGTGTATTGAAAGAGAGTCCCCTGTTAAGCAACTGGACCTGGGACAGCACTGAACTCAGGGCTACCTCTTGTCGTCCGTTTCTGAAGTCTAGGGAGGAACAATGTCAATGCATGGAAACTCTTCCTCCTCATTTAGGAGGCACTGACCAGAAAGTTCCCATTGTGCATACGCATGGATCAGGGCAAGGAGGAAAGCCCCAACTGGGTTACAATTCTGCTGGGTTGGAGAAAGAGCCGTCAGAAAGGGATGATTTGGAACAATCTGTTGGGAGTCAACAGACCCCTTTTCCAAAAGTGGTCAGAGCTCCACCTACTAACTTTGAGCCCACATCTGGTAAGCACATTAAGTCCCATGTGAAATAGAGGGATTGTGCTATTATCAGCTAAGCATGCAATTAAAAATAAGATTGCAGTAATCGATACTATGGCATTATATGCTACCTCCATTCAAAACCAGTGTCATGTCTATAAGGAGATATAAAAGAAAATGATAAACCACAATAAGGAAATTATAAGGAAAATTAGTGTCAAAACAGTATTAGATCTGTTAAATGGGAGCAAATTGCAGTATAAAGATAGAGTGAGATGGTGTGGACTATTAGGTGCCATTGCAAAGATTTGATTCTCACCTGGCCACTATATAGTACAGAACCTATGCTGGAGAATTATGGGTTCCAATTTGGCAATGACATTTGCACATGTCAGATGGATCTTAATCATTCTGTTTAACATTATATCTTTCTTGAGGAAGAGTAGTGTCTATGCATGTGTGTTCTTTGTGCCATTAACAATTAGAGAGTGGCTGGCTTTGAGGCATAGAAATGAGAAGAAACCTGGGTTAGCTTTTCTTCTTTGTTTGGTGGGCATTGAGTTGTGTTGCTGTCAGTTCTCAAACCCAGGGAGCCATGATTTGTTAAAAAAAAAAAAACAACCTTCAGAATACCTGATCTGAACTGTTTCCTCTCCTCAGAGAAGCTTTGGGGCTAATATTGATGTGAAATTAAATGATGAGACCTGGTGGACTGTATCTTTGGATTTCAAATCTCAAAAGGTCTTTACAAATGCAATGAGTTCTTTACACTTTAAAATTTTAATTAATAAGTTACTTGTAATGTGTCTTAAAGATAACCTTCATCTATATAATCAACCTGGGACCCCCTTCCTGCTCCCCTTCTCATCTCAGTTTAAGTACTACATCAGTATAGTTTAATTGAATTGCAGCTCACAAAAGTTTACAGTTTTTTTGGTGTTAGTCAGAACAGGTGCTATCAGGCTCCTTCTGATTTTTCAACAAGGGTAGATACCGCGTTTCCTTGAAAATAAGACAGGGTCTTATTTTCTTTTGACCCCCCAAATAAGGGCTTGGCCTTATTACCGGGGGGGGGAGGGTCTTATTATTTTGGAGGTGCAGGAGGTGGTAAACGTGGGACTGGATGTCCTGTTGCTGCCATCGCCTCCCCTCCCCATTCTTTGCGTTGGCCGCTGCCCTGACATCTCCCACCGCTGCTGCTTCCTTATGGAGCAGGCTCTGCAAGGCTTGTGCCGTTGCATGCACAAACTGCAGCACTGCCATGAGCTTCATCATACCAACACAGCTGGCATCCTGCCGTTCACAGCTGTGCCAGTATGTCAAACTTGTGGCTATGCTGCAATTCCTGCATGCAATGGCACAAACCTTGCAGAGTCCTGCTCTACGAGATGGTGGCAGTGGCACGATGAGTCTCACAAAGACTCGTTTCTGGCAGGTGGGGCGGGGGAGAAGTAAGACACGTGGAGCAGGATGTGGCTCCCCTTGCTGTCTCTTCTCCCACCCACCCCCCACCAGGCATGACAGGGCTCTTGCCCCTCACTTAGCCACCCACCACCACCTGCCCCCTTTAGGATGCAATTTGGGGGTGACAGGTGGGGCGGGCGAGAAGCATCTCGCTTTTCCCCCGCCCTACCTGCCACCCCTCTCCATAAAGAGATGGTGGGGAAGGGAAGCAGCCAGGCTACTATTGCCATTGGGGTCAGCCACATTGGACCGCAAGACATGCGTCTTACCTTTCCAGCACCATCATGTTCCTTGTCTTTCTGTCCAGGGAGACACATTGTAGAAAAAACTTTCTCGCAAGTTCAAGGAGTTTGGCTGAACTCGCGAGAAAGTTTTTTCTACAATGGGTCTCCCTGGACAGAACGGCAACGAACATGATGGTGCTGGAAAGGTAAGACATGAATCTCGTGGCCCACGCGGCCCACCCCAATGGCAACAGCAGCCTGGCTGCTTCCTTCCCCACTGTCTCTTTATTGAGAGGGGTGGCAGGTGGGGCAGGGGAGAAGCGAGATGCTTCTCCCCCGCCCCACCTGCCACCCCCAAATTGCACCTAAAGGGGGCGGGTGGGGGCGGGTGGCTAAGCGAGGGGCAGGAGCCCTGTCATGCCCGGCAGGGGGAGTGGGGCACATAGTTGGTGGGGGGACTTATTTTGCAGGGGTGGCTTATATTATCACATGTCCTGAAAAGCCCGATTGGTCTTATTTTCAGGACATGTCTTATTTTCGGGGAAAGATGGCATATATTTTATTTATTTATTAAATGTATATGCCACCCATCTTTCTAAGAAGTGACTGGTTTCTCAGTGGTGAAATCCCAATTTTTTTTACTGCTGGTTCTGTGGGTGTGGCTTGATGGGCGTGGTGTGACTTGGTGGGCATGGCTTGGTAGGTGTGGCAGGGGAAGGATATTGCAAAATCTCCATTCCCACCCCACTCTGGGGCCAGCCAGAGGTGGTATTTGCCGGTTCTCCGAACTACTCAAAATTTCCACTACCAGTTCTCCAGAACCTGTCAGAACCTGCTGGATTTCACCCCTGGGTTTCTAGCAAAAAAGGCTTATAAGAGATATATCAAAGAAGAATTGTATGGCTCTCAAGTCATTTGGCTATTCTTACTGAAATTCTCTTAAAAGCCTATTACATTCCAGTTTTGACGATATAGGAGATTCCATTTCCACTCTAGATTGTGTGGGAAGCAAAATGTGGTAGCTTTAATTAGCTCCTGTGTGGAAAGAATCCTATGGATCTTTCACATAAAAGAATCTAATGAATAATAGAACTAGTAGGTCAGAAAGCATAAAAAAGACTAGTATTTCCCTTTTTATCGTCAGCAGATCATTAATTAGACCCTCAAATAATCTGTGGATTTACTATCTTGGAAAATTGGGATTAAAATTGATTAATTTTGCTTGATTAGGTACTATCAAAATTGTGTTTTCTTTTATCAATCACATAGATAAGTTTTGTTCATGATGATCTATGCCTAGCCTGTTTTTTCAGGTCTTCAAATGGTGCCCTCATTGCCACAATAACTGAATTTGTCCACCTTGCTATTGTCCTCTTCTTCAGTTTTTTTTCCACCTTTTCTGGGATTAAAGCCTTTCCCAGAAAGCTGGATCTTTGTATAATATGTCGAAAGAAGGATAATTTATCTTTGTAATTTGTATCTCCAGTGAGAACACTGGTTCGCATAATTAGCTGTCATAGGTCTATTTTATATATTTCCTTTTCCCTTCTCCTTTATCCACCTCAATTTTAATTCAGTGAGCTTCCACAATGTATAGCATAGTATATTTGCAGGTAATCCTTGATTTGTAAGTGGTCACTTAGCAACCATTCAAATTTCCGACAGCCACCTCCCCTTATATGATCACCCGATCACAATTCCAACACTTGGCAATCAGCCTATATTACAATTTGCTATATCCTGCAGTCACATGACTGAGATTTATAACTTTTTTTGCTGGAAACTGGTGCTTACTTCCTGTTTCTAGCAAAATAAAAAGTCCGTTGGGTACTATGGATTTGCTTAATAACTGTGGTATTCACTTAATGACTATGGCCCAAAAAGGGTGTAAAATTGGGGAAAGTCATAGGCTCAACTACAGTTGCAGTACTCCAAGCTTGGTTTTATTTGAAAATCACATACACATACAAAAATCTCTTATTGGGGTACCCGGAATATTTGGATTGAGTTATTCTCGAAGTCCAGTAGTATTAAAGTGACTGGCTTGTTCAGAAGAAGAACAGCTGCTTTAAAGGCTTTCTTGACATGCCTGCATATCTTTGTCATAAGTATGAGAAGTGTAGCTATATAGATTTTACAAACCAACAAACAAGTGTGTGCATGAAAAGTCAACACTATTGGAACTGGCAGCACAGGTGCATAGGTAGTAGGGAAAACCAAGCCAAGTCTTCCAAAGGAAGCAGCAACATTAACACTTCAAGGAGGAGCACCTTACTTGGGCCAATGAGTTTGAGAAGGATCTCTTTTGAACTCTTTGCACAGTCCTATTATTTATGTTTTTTGCTGGCTTCCTTCTCGTGTAAATGTTCATCATTCAGTCTTAAGACATGTTCCCTTCGTTCCAACCCAGAATTCAAAGCAGGGTGAATCCTTGAGATTCTTAAGAGCATCCACCTCTCAAATATTGTGTCGGAAAGATACGTTAATGTCAAATATTTAAATCCTGCCACATGGTGATTGCATTTTAATTTTTCATTTAAAGAAAAAGAATCCAGAAGAGATTCCAGTGGGAAGAAACTGGGCAGTGACAGTTTTCTTCACTTCACCTCTGAGATAGAGCACATTGAGGAACAGATGGCAAGGGACAATGTCCACTTTGTCAGGTTTGAAACCACAGATATCCACGGTGTGTCAAGATCCAAGAGCATCCCTTCTCGCTTTTTCCGGGTATGTCTGTATTCTTTTCCTGTTTCCTGGGCACAGTGGCCGTCCTTTTGCTATTCTGCAAACCTTTGTTATTGCAGTATGCCCTTAGGTTGACCAAGAACTTTCTAAATATGTTTTATTCATCTCTCTCCCTCTATTATTAAGAAAATTTAATTCATGCAACTTGGCAACGTGGGTTCTTTTTACTCATCTAAGCTTTTCTTCCTCAGATATAGCTTTTTAAAAAAATTGATTACCTTAAGAAAAGGTTGGTTTGATCTAGGGGTGAAATCCAGCAGGTTCTGACAGGTTCTGTAGAACTGGTAGCGGAAATTTTGAGTAGTTCAGAGAACCGGCAAATACCACCTCTGGCTGGCCCCAGAGTGGGGTGGGAATGGAGATTTTTGCAGTATCCTTCCCCTGGAGTGGGGTGGGAATGGAGATTTTGCAGTATCCTTCCCCTGCCACACCCACCATGCAATGCCCACCAAGCCACACCACACCCACAAAGCCACGCCCACAGAACCGGTAGTAAAAAAAATTGGATTTCACCACCGATTTGATCTGATCCTAGAAAATTTCAAGGGTCCAAGGCAAACAGCCAGATACTAAAGGGACAGCATGTGAATTACACTAGTGACAAAAAACCCAAAACTTACTGAGTGATTCAATCCAATCAAATAATATCACAGAAATGCATAATGGTTTAAATTGTAACACTGTAGTATAGTATTAGTTATTTTGTTAAGCAACAATTAAAGGTCACATTATTCGGTAATTTTTCTATGGAAAATAGAGATCACCAGTAGCTTTTTTGCAGGTTGTTTCTGCAATACCCAGCATAGGCAGTTTATAGGGAACATTTTTGTTTAATTCTTATCATGAATATTTCAGGTTTCATTCAGTGAACATAAAAATATGCTAATACAATTAGAAATGCAGTGGCATTTGCTTCCATGCTATATTTTCTTTGAACTGTAGAAAAAAATACATTTTACTTTATTTTGTTTTTAGCTATTGCTTCATTAGGCTCTGTTCTTTCAACTTTAAGGTTAAATATGTTGTATTTCACTGATGTCGTTTAGGCATTAACAGATATCAACTGTTTTCCATGGAATTTAGTACTGCTAAAAGATAATAAGCTAATATTTTTTGTAGTCATTCTGTGTGTGTTTGCCCAGCTCAGTTTTCTAAAATAACTTATACTTGTTTGAATTAATGCCATCTTAAGAAAATTAAATTTGACATGGAAATATAAATCATTACTTTAAAATACTATTATTGCTGCTACTGTGATACCAAGAGTCATAAAATATGATAGGATTACTTTTTATTCTTATTTATCTAGAGACTTAGATCACGAAGAAGCAGGAATACAGCTTTGTAATTCACTTTCCGAATTAAAAGCTCTATTAAGTCATGGTCACACAACTGTGCATACCCAATTCACAATCTAGCTAGCAAAGCTGGATTTCAGGAGAATTGAATAGTATGCACAGTACCTCATTCTGTGTAACAGCTCCTAAACACTATAATTTCTTCCTAATATTATAATTTCCAGCAAAGCTTGGCCTGTCCCAGTGTGGCAGTCTTTTCTTACTGCTTAGTACTTTTCCATCAGAATGCCATTGCCTCATTCAGTTCACATGGGAACCATCTCTTGTTCTGAGAAGTTTTTCTTGTTTTCAGAACCATTCCTATTTTCATAGTAAACTTCATTCTGTATTTTTCCACATGTGTAGCGGCTAACATTTCTTAGAACAATCCTTATATCTTTATGGCCTGTTTTATGGAACTCTCATGTATTCCATCTTCTACGCATGTGCACTCATACATTTATTTTTATCTTGCCTCCATTATTTTTATAAATAACTTAAGGCAGCGAATGTACCTAATAGTCATTCCTCCTACAATTTGTCCACAACAAAACCACTGTGAGATGGGTTGGGCTGAGAGAGAGGATTGGACCAAAGTCATCCAGCTGGCTTTCATGCCTAAAGTGGGACTAGAACTCACAGTCTCCCGGTTTCTAGTCTGGTGCCTTAACCACTAGACCAAACTGCCTAGCACTGACAATATGGCAGCTACACCATGACGTTAATGATAATACTGGCCATACCTGATGGTTTTGCTGTATATTGGTGTATGGTTAACTACGGAATAACACTATGATGATTTTTATTACTGGTGCTATTTTTAGAAGGTGAAATAAAACTCTACAGCCTGAGCTTTACTTTGTGCACTACTACAAAACTATTACCAAAATGATGGGTAGACTCACTGTGCTCAAGTACTGAATTTATGCTACTATTTGTTGGGCTGGCAAGATTTTGCCATGTTCAATAGGCCACTCTGTCCACTCCCATTGAGAGAAACACCCTAGAAAGCATTTTTTAGCACAAGAAAGAGAGAAAAAAACATATAGATGTTTCCTTGCATTGGTAGAAAATAGGCAGTGCAGCATCTTCTTTGATAACCACACAGATTTGGAGTGGTGAGGTTTCCAGGTCAAGGTAAGGTTTTTCCTCAAATGTGTGGCCTGCTTTAGTGCCTCTGTTCTTGTGTTGTGCCGAGGGACCTGAGGTCACATTCAAAAGGTGGTTGTCTTTTATACTCTGTGAAACAGACAGTCTTTTACCAAACTGTTGGGAACACAAAACAGTGTGCAAGCTTTCCTTTTTCAAAGGTCAACAACATGCACCTTTTCACAATTTATCCCTCCCCCACGTGGCTTGTTCTGTGATTCAGCTAATGCATTTTGCAATCAACATGCTGTTGCTACTAAATTCAAGATTAATTTACACTGGGCACACTGTAAAATAAGCATTACTTGCTCAGTTTCGGAAACAACACAACAGGTAGTGGATTGGGATCATTTGCATTTTTTTGGGGGGGTGCATTTTGCCAAGTACTGATAAATGATGTTGTAGGGAATTGCTTCATTCCAAAGCCACTTAATGTCTACGGTATATTGCCAATATTTTCACACGGTCCCTTTTTACCTGGCTTAACTAGTTTTGCAATTTGAATCATAAAGCTCAGAATGTCAGGCACTCTGCTGCTACACAGACTGTGTTAAAAGGTTTAAAAGATCTCGCAATAAAACACATCTGCAATGGTTCAACCTATTTTACGTTCAATCAAGTATTCACTCGCTCCCAAATATTATTCAAAGGCCAAGAACAGCGAATTTAAAATCTTTGTTTTTAAATTCAGACTTAGCAGTAAGATATTCTTTGTAAGCTGATGGGGAAAAAACCTTTATTGTATATAGAATGGCCTTTACAAGTCTGTAGTACTCTTAGACATTTGGATGTCTTACCAATTCACTGCGTACTGCCATTTTTTGGTGTGGTCTATTGGGTAAAATTTTATCAGACATGCAGGGTGATACAGACAAGAAGCACATGCATATGAACTACATCTATTTTATTATGAGATTACATTAAGAGAATCTTGCAAGTCTGAAAGTACATATCTCTTCCTTTACCTTTACAGCCCAAGAAACTAGGGAGGGATCTTTCTGCAATATTTGCCATGCCCAAATTCTTGCTGTGGGCTAAGGATCTTTTTATCTGCCCATTACTCTGGCTGTAGCTTTTCTCCCTGTCTCCCAAATTCATTCCTACATACCATTCCAAATTTGATGGAAACAGTTCCATCATAGTTAGCCTAGATGATTTCTTAAGAATTTCCATAAAATTTAAATTACTATCACCATCTTTCATTTCAGGGAGGACATTACAAAAGATTTCAAAGAGAAAATGGTGCTGGAAAGTAATTTTATACTCTTGACTTAATGATCTTAGGCAGGATCTCATTAAAAATTACAAAGGTATTGTTTCAGATGTGATATACACAGCTAATATTCCTTTTCTCTTCACTGCCATTCCCTCCTTTAAGATTGTTTCTACCTCCCTAATATTAGCAAATACAACAGAATAAGCCTTCAGAAATGAAATACTCTAGGGCATGTGGAAACTCAAATTTTAAATTCACTTATAACATTGCAACACTGTTAACATCATTATCATCATTATTATTATTTCCATTTTTAATCTTCCTTTCTACCCAGAAAGCACTTAAGGCAACAATGAAATTGAACTTGCTTCAGGTTCTTCGTAGCTGAACACGTTTTTTAAAAAATAAAATCATAAATTAAAATGAATTCACAGAGAAGCTTGGTCCTGTTGCTGATTCTTGGTATTCTTTCTCAAAAATGTAGTGAGCAGCATTAGTTCCATAATGCAACACTGTGGTCATTCTAGCTGGTGTGTTATCAGACTTATGTCATCATCCTATCATTTGCTACTTTCTGAAGGTCATTTAGGAACTGTCTTGATTGTGGGGGGTCTGGACCCAGAGGCCTGAGGTCCCTTTCTTAGCAACATTATGGCTAGTTTATTGAGCCTTTTGTCTCTCCACCCCACATATACAGACAAACACATACAAGCATACACATACAAACACACATGCACACATCCCATGTCAACTCCTAATGCCTTCCATGCTTGGCTGAAAGAAGTTTCTGATTGAAAATCTACAGTGTATGGCTTTTCTCTTGGACAATTGGTTATGGTTCCTTCTGAAACTTCCTCAGAAATGTAATCTGTCAATGTGATAGTGCTACTTAGGGATTATTTAATCCATCCAAAGCACAGCCATATGTTCTTCTTCCTTCTGTTTAGACCAAAGCAATCAATGGGGTTGCCATGCCAAAAGGCTACCTTGAACTGACCCTGAATCCAAGGGACCGTGAGACATGCCACGTTCCTGCAAGCAGTTTTAACTGCGACATCATCCTGAGACCCGATTTATCAACATTCCGGATCTTGCCATGGGTGGAACAAACAGCAAGAGTGATCTGTGATCCCTTTATGGTGATGGGAAACCCTCTCTTGACATCGCCCCGGCACATTGCCAAGCAGCAGTTGAATCAGCTCCAGAAAAACGGCTTTGCGCTGTATTCTGCCTTCACTTATGAATTCTGCATCTATGGCATTGCTGAAATTGTCAATTCAAAGACAATCTCTTTTCCCGCTGCCACCCTACTCAGCAATCATGACCAGTCCTTCATCCAGGAACTCATGGATGGCATGTATCATGCTGGGGCAAACATTGAAAGCTTCTCATCCTCGGCTGGGCCTGGCCAGATGGAGATCTCTTTTCACCCAGAGTTTGGCCTGGGTGCAGCGGACAGTGCCTTCACTTTTCGGACAGGCATTAAAGAAGTAGCCAAAAAGTACAATTATATTGCCAGTTTTTTCACCGAGGATGGATTCTATAATTCTGGCATTCTGACCCATAGCCTTTGGGACAGCAGCAGACAGCATAATTTGTTTGCTTCTGGAGCCCAAGAGCTAACTGAGATAGGGAAGAATTGGCTGGCTGGGTTACTGATGCATTCTGCAGCTCTCAGCTGCCTGATGGCCCCCACTGTCACCTGCCGCAAATGCTATAGTGGGTGTAGCAAAGGCTCCAAAGAGGCTGTGGTTGCCAAGGGAGCATGGAATGACAACAGCTGTGCATTTAACATCCAAAATCATGGTGACAAGGGAACCTGGATAGAAAATCAACTGGGCTCAGCCACAGCCAACCCTTACTTGGTGCTCTCGGCTACAATCGCAGCAGGTCTGGATGGGGTAAAGAGAAAGCTCACTTTCCAGGAGACCTCAGGGAAGGCCCAGAGTTCCACTCTGACGAAAGCAGGCATGATCCCTCTGAAGCTGGAAGATGCTCTTGTGGCTCTCCGAGAAGATGAGTGCATCAGGGAAGCGCTGGGGGATTATTTTGTCCAGTACTTTATCAACATAAAGCAATATGAGGTGGAAACTGAGGAACTGGATGTGGAAAGGAATAAATTTTTGGAATATTTTATCTAGTGTGAAGATGAGATTGGAGAGTTAATAGAAGCTAAACAATGCAGCTGTAGATCAGAAAGTCTCTAGATCACATTTCTTTTATAAGTGACCTTTTTAAGTGACTTTAAGGCACTCCATCTTTTTCTCTCTTTTTCTTATAAGCTGCAGTACAGCTAATAAAGGTGCAGGTAGCAACAAACTGATTTACTGTAAATGGCTGTTACAAAAATCTTGAGAAAATAATGCACATGAAGTTTTAGTAGAATATTAGTTTCCTATAGTCCTTTATTTGAATATAGGTTATTTTGCATGAGACTGTTTTTTCCTGGAGACTCCAGATCAATCTGCATGTCCACTTGTTATATAGATTTCAGCTGCATTCAGCTTTATGTCTTGTTTTCCTCTGATTAATTACAAATTGGGAGGAGGAAATATTACCTCACAATATACCATGAAAAGAGATCTGTTTTCTGTAATCTGTTTTCTCTCTCAAATAATCAAAGGAAACTTTCTTCCTGGCTAGGAAAAAAGTTTGCATAGTTTTTTGTTTTTTTTTAAATAAAAGACATCATTTAGTTGGTCACGTAGTCAGCAAAGTGTTTAGACTGGATCTGGCATTTTTGTCCACTTATCGAGGCCTTTCCAAGGACTTGGGATAAACAGATGCTGTTGTTTGATGGTGTTACAGTTACTGTTGCAGGATGTAAGCTGTTCTGAGTAAAGCTGCCTTTTGCAATTGACTGAAGAGGATTTTGTCAATGCTGATGGTGTTCAAATGGTACTTCAGTATTTTGGGATTGTACTCAATTGTACCTATTACTATTGGTAGTATCTTTGCTTTCTTTTACCACAGTTGTTCTACTTCTGTTTGCAGGCCTTTGTAATTTTCTCCAGTTTTTTATCTTCTCTTCTGTTGCTTCCAGGTACTGCAACTGTCCAGTATCCAGACATTTTTGTCTTTCTTATCAACAATTTTAAGTCTGGGCTGTTATATGACAGGCGTTTATCTGTTGGATGTAAAGTCCCAGTTTTTGCAGCAGCCAAGTAGGTGGTCCACTATTTCTTTAGCTTCTTTCCCTAGGTGGAATTTGCTATCTGTTGCTGTCTTCTCAATTCTGGTTTTGTATGCATTTGTTCTTAAGGCTTGGTCTTGTGTAGCCAGAATTAGTCCCTCGGTCTCTTTCTTGAACTTTTCTGCCCTTAGCTATTTCTAGGCCTGGTCTTCTTTACCTGCAAGTGTGTGTGTGTGTGTGTGTGTGTGTGTGTGTACTGGCCATGTTTTGCTTTGCCCTGCCATGTATCTTTTCTATTCTTCATTTGCAGCCCTGTTTAGTCTCTTCGGTATTCAATAGGCCTTCATGGTGTACTAGTTTTAGTGCATCTTCTTAGCTGTCCTTCAGGTATTCTTTCAATGCTCTTTTTTCTTCCTCAATTGTCTGGGGTACTTGAAGCATTCCATGCTCATCTATGCTCCTTGTTAAGTAGAGTCTATCAACATTGCTGCATGGATAAAGGACATGATTCATTGTCACTATTTTTCTGTTCTGCCTGTCTAGTCAAAGCTTCTAGTGTGAAATTCAAACTTCTTTACCTCCTGATTTCTTGGCTTGTAGCTTTAATCTGCTGCTTTATTTTCTCCAGTCCTTCCTTGATCTTCCATATTTCTAGGTGGTGCTTCTTGATCAGGTATTCTTTGCTTTGCTTTGCTGACCTTATTTTCCAACTTGGTCTTTCATTTTGGTGGTGCTCCATTTGTCGTTCTTCTTCTTCTTTTACATACAAGGTATTCAGTTATAACTGCAGCCATGTTGTACAGTATTTTAGTGGTTTGCTTCTTGCAGTGAACAGTTGCTTATATTTGATATTATAGTTTTGGTGTCTTTTACTTTTTGTGCTAGTTGTGTTTTTTTGTAATCAGATTCAGTGCAAGCAACCTTTTGCCGTTGTTTTGTACTGTTCTAGATGCTCAGTTATTATTTGTTTCAATTCTTAGAGGGCTTTGTTCTTTCTGAAGAGAAGTGTGAGGACAGGGAATGTCAGTCTGAGAATGAAAACAATTCAATAACTATGCTCTACTGCCCAATCTCTCTGGTTTGCTTCTACAAACTGAACTTCTTCTGGCAAGGTTTCAGATTCTTTACCCTGGGTAAATCTTCACAGTTCTTCCAATTCTGCTACTGTAAATTCTTTATTTCATATTATAAATTGGTGTTGATCTGCTTAGCCCCTGTTCTGCTATTTCTGATTCTAGATGTTGTTCTTTCTAGAACCAGCGAATTGTTTTCCGATATCCTCTTTTTATTGAACTTCATTTACAACACCTAATCATTATACCTTTGTTTTCAGTCCTCATATATTTGCAATGAATAAACACCTTTTTTTCCCAACAGTCTTGCAGCTACTGGCCCTGGTTGCTCAGGCAACAGTCCTGAGTCCTATACACCAGTTGTCACCAGATGTTCAGGAATTCCAACCCCCAGCACAGTCTTTATTGACCTAGCACAGTCTTTATTGATGACCGATCCAGTAAAGGCTTCTGTACATTACGTCTACCATATTGTTTATGGGGGAGACACACTTTGTCTGGCTTCTCTAAGAGACGTGTACATATTGTTGAACCTCTGTCATAGCTTTCATTCTCCTCAGAGCATGCAAAACCTGCAACCACTTCAAGGTAGTGCCTCACTGAGGGATTATATTTCCATTTGTCTTTGAAGATGTACTCTCAGATGCTGAGGACAAAAAATATAAGTATCTAAACTTTTTGCACTTCATCCCAGAAGATTCATTTCCTCATTTGTAATTAATTAGCGGAAAACAAGTTAAATAGCTGCACGTTATCAAAACAATATCCATTTTAGCTCTCTCTCATCATCCTGTTTTAAAATCTGCCCAGCACCTGCCCTTAGATCACAATGATTTCTCTGCCAGCTCTGTCCAGTAGGGATGTGGAATGTGGACTGTGGATTGCCCATTTGATATATTCTCATTCATTTGAAGAAAATCGAAACTCCCCTTTGATATATAATTCTCCCTCCATGTACAAATACTGTAAAATGAGTTTAAAATACATATATAAATTCAATAAATCATAGAAACTATCTTAATAGATAAATAGCTTAGTTGAGAGTTTGGACTTTGCTATTTTTTATGATATTCTACTATGTGGAATAAAAGCAATAACTAATAATTAAAATATTAGCCTACTCTGTTCAGCAAAAAAGCAGACTGGAATCAAAATTGTTTAGGACAAGTGATGAGAGAGAAAATTTAGATTTCAGTTGGAATAGTAATTTTCTTCAAGAACCACAAAACTCAGTTTTCTTTGAAGTTTGTATTCTTTGAACTGAAGTGCTGTATTCCCATTAAATCTCTGTACAAAATAAAATGTTGTACAATACCAGAAAAGCATTGAAAAGTATATGTTGGTGAAAATAAGACACCAAAATCTGCTGTGTTAGTTAAAATTGCTTGCAGAAAATGGGTGTATAAGGCAAAGCATGCACAGGAATGGTCACGCTTGGAAAATTCCAAAATGCAGGCACATTTTCATGTTTTTCTTTCTTATTGTGAAAATGGATGGTGGAATGAAACAAGCTGAATCAAAGTTGGAAGACCTGAAATTCATTCATGCCTATTGTGGAACTGTCTGTGGGCTGATCATCAACTTTCCCTAATGGCAGCATGATAATCATTTTTAAATGACATGCTTCATGCTTTATAACCAAAGCAGTACTGAAGCAGCTTGCAGCTAGTCCAACATGGCAGCATATTCTATAACCAGCATCCTTTTCTGACTGCTCCAGGACTGGTAGACTACATTTTATTCTGGCTATCTAGCTGTGTCCTAACTGAAAGAGCGGAATTTAACTCTCAATTCTGTGGTTATATACAGGAAAAATCTTAAACCAAGAAGTGACCAGAGTTGTTGAATTAAATCTTATGATTTAAAAATGCTGACCTTGTCAGCTTGTAATATGACAGCCTGGGTTTGAGAACGACACAACAGGGTGCATGCAACAGGGTGCCATGTGCCATGTGACAGGGTGAAGTCTCATTACTTACCCCAGCTCTAGCCTAGTGAAGAGAAGGACCAGGGGAGACATGATAGCAGTGTTCCAATATTTGAGGGGCTGCCACAGAGAGGAAGGCGTCAAGCTATTTTCCAAGGCACCTGAAGGCCAGACAAGAAATAATGGATGGAAACTGATCAAGAAGAGATTCAACCTAAAAACAAGGAGAAATTTTCTGACCGTGAGAAAAATCAACCAATGGAACAACTTGCCTTCAGAGGTTGTGAGAGCTTCATCACTGGAAGCTTTCAAGAAGAGATTGGGCTGCTGTTGTCAGTAATGGTGTAGGGTCTCCTGCTTGGTGGGGGAGGATTGGATTAGATGATTTATAAGGTCCCTTCCAACTCTGTTAATCTGTAATCTGTAAAGTCCTGTTTACCTAGCACACGGGTGTCAAACTCTCTGTGTCACGTTGATGTCATGTGACATATCATGACTTTTTTGCCTTCAAAATGCTTTGCATTTTACCTCTTATCCAAACTCATTTGATACAAGAAAGTCCCCTTTTTAAAGTACCCTTCTCATTTCTCATTTCACCTGCTGCAGATATTTCTCTTGAAGATTATGTAAAATATCTACCTTTACTGGTAGTATTCTAAGAAAGAACTTGAATTAAATTAGAGTAATTCCAACAGTCCATTCATGTTTAATTGTGAAATACGTTATTCCTACTTAAGTAACTGATAGGTTGTCTGATACAAGTCTTCTAAGAAGCAAGTCTCTTTTAGGTGTTTTTTTTTTTTTAACTGATTCCCCAATATGAAAACAGAGGACTACAGTCAGAAATAATTTTAGTTTACATGTAAGTAGTAAACCATAATTCTGATAGGTAATGAAAAGATAACTTCTGGGAGATAATTGTAAAAACAATAGGGTGTATCCATCGGAACCTATCAGCAAACAGGGCAGCATGGATTAGATCAGTGTTTCTCAACCTTTACAGCTTTAAGATTTCAACACCCAGGATTTCTGCTGGGATGGCTGGGGAATTCTGGGACCACAGATCTTATAGTTGTTGATGCCAAGAAACACTGTATTAGATGAATTCATTTACCTCCACCTGCGTTCCTTATGCTCTACAAGATGCTTTTCTCCTGGGGTCCATCTGGAGTGAGGAGGAACAAAAAGGAGAAAGCTTGTTGCTCAAACAGAAACACAGCCTTGATTATGAGTGGCTTCACTGAAAGGCATCGAAACTAGAATCTCAGTTTGAAAAGAAGTTTGTAGGTTGTACTTGACAATGCTTTTGATTGGGCATGTGGAACTTCCATTCTGAGCCTTTCGGTGGCTGTGTGTGTGTACGCGCATGTGTATGTGTGTGTGTGGAAACAGGCAATTGAAATAAGAAAAGTGTGCTAATAAAAGAGCAACATAATGCAAACACAGTAAAGTCTTTAAATATCTTCCGTCTTAGATGGGAATAATCTTTTCTATTGATTGTTCTGAAATGCACCAATTTTATCTGCAAATAAAACTTAATTCTCTAGAATATACTTGCTCTGTTACTTGAAATAAAAGCAAAGCAACAAAAGGATTGTAATGTTTTGCCCATATTTGCAAAATATATAAAGTGTGCTATTTGATTTTTTCCCCCCATTCTGCCAGTTGCAGAAACATAAAATCAACATTTGACCAACGGAAATATTTTGTGAGCATCTTTAAACGTGGAACTCTAGTATAATTTCAGTTGCTTTGGAAATACAACACCAGCATGGTATGATTTGGCTTGTTTTAAGAAAAAGGATGCAGTTTGGTTGGTTTAGCTGTTTATCAGGGTCATTCACCTATCCCTGTAATATGCGCCTAAGGATGCCACACAAACTATTAAGGACAACTCTTCTTACGGAAGCCTTCTCATTCCCAACCCATAGCTGGTGATCCCGAACTTTTTATTTAGTTGATCTAGTGTTAAAATAGTATTTCCAATTCTCTGCTGGCACAAGCCATACTGAATGCATGGTTTCTGACACTGGGAGCCACTGTGGTGATGATATCCTCAAAGGTTGGAATCTGCCCAGCTCTTTTTGGTTACTTGGGGCTGCAGCAACTCCCTGCCCCCTTTCCTCTGTTGCTGAGATTGCTTTCCATGGCCAACATGAGTGTGCTACTTGGATGACTTGAAGCCTGGTTTCTGCATGCCGCTGTCTTTGGGATGCCTGGTCTAAAATGCAAGTCAAGGTTTAGGCAGACTTTTTATAGTACATGTTCACCACTCTTGTGGAATAACACTACACTGGTCTTTAAAGGAAAAAAATTACACTATATTGGTCTTTAAACAAACAAAACAAAAAAAACCCCAGATGGAATACTAACAGGACCCTTAAGGTTACCCAAATTCTGCAGCCAATCAACTCTGTCATGAAGTTTCAGATTGTTCATCGACCCCCAATATTTTTATTGTATGAACAATTTATTTTAACTAATAGTATTATGAATAATAGTAGTAATATAGACTTCTTGGGGATCAGTATTAGCTATTTAGGAGAACCCTTGCCCTAAAATGAAATTAAAGATGCTTCTCAATGCTGGCTGCTGGAGAACCTATCTTGTTATAGGCATCTAACTGGCCAACCCAGATATATTGTTGGATTAGATGTGCTTTAATTGTCAGCTTGATTGGCCCTTATGAAACATGATGTCAGGCCTGGAAGCCATCTTTTGTATTGGGCCTTCAGGCCTGCCACATTTATTACTGTGGGAAATTGGGAGAGGGGATTGTATGGAGCATGGGTGATATATAGTCAAAATAACATTCCTTTCTCAGGGAGTCAAGGACATCTTGCCCTGCACCTGGAGGGTTGGAACTGGGAGGTATCTCCAGTTCAGACGGTGGTTTGATTAGGCCATGTGATGGACGTCTGGGTGCTGGGCAGGAACTTGAACTTTCCTTTGGGTGGGAAAAACCTGGAAGCTTTCAGATTCAGGTTTTCCCAGATGTGCCAATATGACATCTCTAATAAAATGGAACTTTGATACAGTGCACGATATCCTATCGTGAAACGCTGCAAATGTTGACAACTCTGCTGGAAAGGATGTGCTCAGAAGTTTCACAGCAAGTCTGTATGGCCCAACAGTTCTGTTCTTCAATTATTGGAAAATGTGTGAGTGATTGGGGAAGGAGGTCCCCTGAGGTCCAATCAGAGAGGTTTGCTCCCCGAGAATGAATAAGAAAAAAATAAGAAAAACCAATGGCTACATCAGAGCTGATAAAGATGTCAAGTAGCAGAACACTACGATGCCTTCTGGAGGAGTACTGAGTAACTGTGTTATGACTGCAGAAGGAAATCTTCTATTGTGCAGGGAACAATCACGACACCATGTACCTGCTTATTATGTCTTGTGTGGATATCTTTTGAAATACAGTAAGACAGGCAATTTCTTTCCTTTAAGAGACAGAGCATGGCATTCCTGTCTTTGAATCTCACCATCCCATCTGTTTAATGACAGCTTTAGATTCATGACTTTATGAAAGTGAAATTTGATTTGCAGCAGGCTGTCTGTCACAAAAAGCTGAGTAAAAAGCTCTCCCAGAGATGTTAGGCAGAGGGCAGCAGTGAGCCACAAAAAAATCAATCTTGCTCCACCTGACAGAAGTCACAGCTGGCTGGCAGAAAAATGTTCTGCTTTTTAAATGACCCCTCTTTTATTTTAAGGGTAAAAATAATGCCCAGGGCTGTTATACCGGCTTTCTTCTGCCCCATCATGTTTGATTAATTTGTTTTTGAGTTGGCATAACCTTTCCAGACTCTGCAGGATACAAAATTAATATGTGAAGGGTTCCATAACACAAATATGGCTATTTGGAATATAAATGTAAGATGCAAATAGAGAGAGTAGTGTTTCTAGGGCAAAAGAGAAGTGGTAGGGTGACATGTATTCTAAAATACCTTGAGAATGGGATACTGTCAACAAGAGGGCATGCATGATGCCCCACCCTGGGGAAGAACAATATGACAAAGCAGACACACACACATCTAGAATTTTATTTAACACACAATTGAATAGTATTTTGCTGGCCTATATAATATTTAAGGTAGCAAGGTAGTAGTTTATCATATGCTGGTAGCTCCGGTTCCTGTTAAGTAATATCCATTTTTTTTTTAAAAAGTTTTTTATTCTATACACAAACAAACATTTAATACATCAATCTTCCCTTCCATGCAACCTCTTGGTGTTTTCTCCGTGACTTCATCTTCTTTTTTTATTTCTTCTATCTTCATTTTTACCTTTCTCCAAAAGTACAATATTTTAATTATACCATTTTTTATATAGCTATTAATTTACTTATCTATATCTCTTTTCTAACCAATGGTAAAATTGATCCCATATCTAAAAGTATTCTGAATCCTCTCTTTCTTTAATCATCAAAGTTAATCTATTCATTTCTGCAGAATCTACAACATTTTTAATTACTTCTCCTTCCAGAGGTATTTTCTCTGCTTTCCAATTTTTTGCAAAAACTATCCTTGCAGCTGTTATTACATGTATAATCAAATAAGTATTTTCTTTGCTAATTTTCTCTGGAAGGATACCCAGTAGGAACAGTTCTAGTTTTAAATCAATACGTTGTTGTGTCATTAACCATAACCATGTCTTAATTTTATTCCAATAGTTTTTAGCTTCTGAACATATGATAATAAGATCCTGGTAACTGGTGACATTTCCAACATTTAGCTGATTTATCTTTAATCATTTTTGCCAGTTTTTCAGGGGGCATATGCCATCTGTAAAACCTTTTATATTGATTCTCTTTATATGCAGTGGACATTGTTAATTTATAATTCCTTTCCCATAACTGTTGCCATTTATCTAAATCAATTGAATGTCCAAAATTCTTTGCCCAAGCTATCATTGTTTCCTTTACTTGTTCTTCCTCTAACTCGATGCTAAGTAAAAAATTATAAATTTTTAAAATGAATTTCTCCTCTGTTCCTGTGAGCATCCTATCCAACTCTGTCTTTTCTAAGTGAAAACCATATCGTTTAACATCTTTTTCATATCTTGTTTGTATTTGCATGTACATATACATATACCAATCCATCTCAATCCCCTGTTCTTCCAATTCTCGTTTCCCCTTCAATTCCACCTTATATGTTAATAACTCCTTATATCTAACAATATTTCTAAAGTTAAGCATATTTGGGTGTATTAGAGCTTCCATTGTTGATAACTTTATTGGTATTTTCACATAGTATTTATCTCTAACCTTTTCCCATGCCAATAACAATGCATTCCTTATATAATGTCTATGAAAGTACATGTGTATCTTACTTCTACCATACCATAAAAATGCATGCCATTCCAATTATAAATTGTGACCTTCCAATATCCATTATTATAATATCCATTGTGATGGGTCCATTTTCTGGGCTGTAGAGGGTCTGTGCAAACAGTCTTAACCTCATTTGAATGATTATTCTGGATCTGTTCTTCAAGTTCAAGATGACTGCTTCAAAGACTTCCTCAGTTTTGGAGAGCATCTTCTGTTTTGTAAGATTGTAAGATGTTGTGACAAAACAACGTTCATGGAAAAAAGAGATGAGAGCCATGCAGAAACAGCCTACCTACTTTTGTGCAATCTGTGATTTACCTCTCAATCTCCAGCTTTGGTAGGAGAAGGAAGGAAGGAAGGAAGGAAG